TCGGATTTAATTTCTATGGGTAAGACTGAAAAACATTTTGAGCTGCGCCATCAAGTGTGGTTTGTTTTAATGTTGTACGCCTATGTATCCAATTTTGATGGAGTGGTGATTTTATTGGTACTGGACCTATTATTAAAATTAGATTTGCATTTAGATTGCATTTAGGTAGTCTTCTACTGAATACTCATGGTCTGTTCCTGTGAATACCGTAAGTGGTTTGTTAGATGTTTTTGGTGATCCAGCCATAAGGTAAGAATTCATTGTCATCTGAAGTGATTCTGCTGTGTTTGGTATTTGTGTAAAATTTGTAAGTTGAGTTTTTGTAATTTCATGTTGTTGTAAGTAGTAAGATAATAGGATTTTGTTTTTCATTGGGTTAGCTTGGTAACTTTGAGTATTTATATGGTTTTGGGATTGCGTTTTATTGTTGGTTGTGCCAAGTTTTGTCGTTGAGTAAAATGTTGTTGTGTTTGTTGTGTTTTTTCTGAGTTCACTCTAGTTTCGAAAATATCTAATTGATAAATATCATCTGGTTGGTCAATGATATTCCAATTAATTCTTCGTGTTAGTTCTTTATTCTTTGGGTCAATTTCTTTGTATTTTTGTTTGTTTGGGTTAAAGTAATCATTAGCTTAAAAATAGTGTTTTTCACTTCTTGTAATTTGCCTGTTTGGTGGATTTTTATTTTGTTGAAATATTGGGTAATTTTCAGTGCGGTCTCCTAGAGTTTTTCGTTTTTCAATAAAAAAACTAATTGAGATACTTGAAATACTGGTTTTGTTATCTTTTGGGTGTAAGTATGTTCTTGGGATTGATTTCTCGTTGTGTAAAGTGAAGTTGTTATTGGGTTGCTAGTATTTTTATCATTTGCGAAAAAATCATAATTGCGTGTTTTTGTTTATTTGATTGTCGTTTGTTTGATTTTAGTTATTGGTCTATATGTTTGATAATCCATATGAAATTATTTTGGAACAAAGGATGTTTTAACAGTTGATTGTAGTGTTGTTTGTGGGAGGAGTAGGGGTATTTTTGTTATATGGTGATGTGATTGTTGGTTGAATAGGAGAGATACTTTGTTGTGTTGTTGTAGGTTTTGTGTCACCTACTTCTTCGTTTATAAAGTGCGATGTGGTTTGCTGTGTCAGGTTTCAGAATATCTTGTTGTGTAAGATTTCTGGTATCATTAAGCGATTCCTGTGTATTTGTAAATGTTGATTTTGAACTATTATTACTTATTCTATCATTAATTATTGTGTTATACTTTAAGGTGTTGCATCAATGGAGTAACTCTTAAATAAATTTTGTGCTCGGAGACAGTGACGGTTGCTGCAGTTGAAATATCTTTAGGTATATTGACAAATAATAGATGACACCAATCAGGGCCCCATACATAATCTGTTTGCTCTGCTAATATAGTTTCATCGTCTGATGTTTGTGGTCGGAAATTTTTCTTGCTGTTGAGATTAAATCTAAATTGTGTAAAAAATAATCTGTTATGAACCATGCTAGGATTTTTTATAGATCAAATTTTACTATTTGTGATACATAATTATCGGTGAGTGTTTCTTAAAATGAGTCTAAAATTTAGAAGAAAAGGTTGATTTCTTGTCTGATTATTGCATTTTGAGATGTTTGAGGTGGTGATTTAATTCACAATACGTTTAATTGAATCTAACTTGTGTTGAAAACATTTAAAGAAATGGCTAAAACTCTTCGTACGTCAACTTTAATTATTTCTCATTTTTTGTTATCGGTGAGTGTTTGACGAATTGAGTCTAAAAAATGAGAGGAAAGATTTATTTCTCGTCTGACTATTGCGTTTCGAGACGGTTGCAATGCTGATAGTTTGATAGAACATTTCGTTTGATTCTAATATTGATAAATAATAGTAATTGATAGAGAAAACATCAGTTGTGAAAGTTGAATTTGCTTTTTGTGAGTTTTGATATATTCTGTGAAAATTTTCGGGAAAACTAAAACTATTTCATCTGTTTGTTTTGGTGTGGTGGTTGATTTGATGAATTTGGTGGTAAAATTTCAATGGTAAATTTTCTGTAATGTGAAGTGATATTACTAATGCCTGGTAGATAGTGATCAAGTACTTGTCTTCTGATTTTTTTTTCATGAAATTCTTGTTTTCCTTGGCTATTTCCAATTTCGAACAATTTGCGATTAGATAATGGCAAAAATGTACTTGTCAACTAGCGGGATTGGTTTTTGGGTGATTGACAATGGGAAACAAATGTCAAAACTTTGTCGTATTCAATCATTTTTTGTGCGGAATTACGGTTAATTTTTCAACTTTCAATATGCCTTATTGGTTGATTGCAATTATAGAGCCTTACCGGTTTACGAAGGTATGAATTTTTAATTCTGCCATTACTTTTTATAGATGATGGTGTTGTAAGTTCTGAATCGGAAAAACTTTTTTGGTCAACTTTGGGTATATTTTTGTCGTCAATTAAATCTCGAAAACTTTGAAGTTTTTGTATTGTAGTTGTGTCAGATTCTAAAACTGTGTTCCGAGTTTTGGAAAATTTTTTTTTGTTTAATAATTTGTTTTTGTTTTGTGAGTATTAACTCCTGTCTTGCTGTTTTTTGATCTGATGTATCCTATTTTTTGTTTTTGTGGTGTAATTACAAGATGGTATTTTTTGTTTTTAATGAAAAAATTGTGGGGAACTATTGGTTGTTTGTTTCATAGATTATCTCATGAAATAAGTGTCAGAGTGATGGTTGCGAAATCCCGGATTATAATTTCCTTTTTTTGAACTGTTAGTTATTACAATTGTTGTGGGGCTATTTCTTACCTTGGGGCATACTTTGTCGAGTGTAAACGGGTTGGAGAGAGAGTATATCGATTCGTTAGAATGAATTTGTATTTTCTCGGTGGCTAAATTTTTTTTTTAAGAAAAACTTACTTAATCTTACTTAGAGTTGTGATATTTGATCAGGGGTTGGAGAATAGTAAATCAATTCACAAGGTTCAGGTATAATTAGAACACAAATAGTTCGTTAGATATTATTTTAGATCTTTTTAAGTTTATGGTCTAAATTCAAACTTTAAACTTGAAAACTATCGAGGCCTATCCATGTTTTTCAATACTCTAAATTTTTTTTTTAATTTAGTGTTTAAGACCGGGTCAACTCAGAGGAGGGGCTCAAGTGAAGGATGAGTAACCGAAGTTCTTCGCCGTTTCTCTCAATTAACATGCTTAGTTGTTCAAAAATTTCTATTAACCTTGGGTCGCTAGTAAGGATTGGAAAATCAATCGAAATTGAGGTCAATAGACACTTTTTACTAAAAGGTGTGGAGAACAAAATTGTTCTGAGTGATACAACGAAAGACTTGACGATCAAATATTTTTAAACGAATTAAGATTTACAATTAAATTTAAAAATTAAAGATCCAAGGATAGCCTTGATGATCTGGTTTATAGAAAATTTAGATTATTTCAAAACAAGGATAGGCCTTGAATATTTTAAGTTTAAAGTTTAAGTTTAGGGAAAAATTTTAATTTTTAGAAAAGGTTGATTTAAAATTTAAAAATTAAAATGATTTTAATTTCTGATTGATTATGGTAATGTTTTAGATGAAGAAACAAAGAATTATTAGCTATGAAAAGATGAGTTTACAAGTCCATGAAAAGCATGGGATTTTTTACAATTTTAATAAATTTAGCTTTTAATTATCCTCAAACTAATTTTTCTATTTTTTATTCAAAAAACTTTAAGTTTACAAAAATTTTAAAATTACTGCAGATTTGATAAAATGAAAGAAATTTGTAATTTTTATCAGTCGTTATTATGTTATATAATATGGTTATACATCATTGAGAGGTATATGACTTGAGAATTAATCCTACTGCTCCAAGAAAAAATTTTTCAAGTTATTGAATGAAAATCTACTGCAATGAGAATTTTGTAGAGATATAATCGTTGCAGTCTGCGTCGTTTCACAAAATAGGGGTTCGGTCTGCTGTTCAGGTTTTGACCTGGTGTTTGCCATATCGTTTGGACTAATGGATTAGACTTACTGAGACGTAGAGATATACTTAATAAGTTTTCTATACCATTGAACATTTTTTGATGTGTTTTTGATCTTATTTCGATTTTGAATTTGCTATATCTAAATTTGTTGAAGTCTTGTTTCAGACTGTTACACGCACCAGATGAGTTTAAATCCGGGGTCGCTCACTCATAGAATACTTTTATATAAGGTACACCGTCTGTTTGTCTCGCTATTTTATTTTCGGCCGGATAGGTTTGTGCAACTTTTTAGTCTAATACCGATCTTAATCTTACACTTATATCTCCTAGTCTAATAGATCTAGTGTTTATTGGTATTTGCGAGTTAGATATCAGAAACTGGTCTGAAAGAGAACGACTGTCTTCTACGTTATATTTATTTTGTTCTGTTGCCGAAACTATGAATAGTTTCAGCGTTACAAATAATTGTAAAGTCTAGTTATGAATCATGATTGGTTAGTTAGGAATACTTTATTGAGATAGTTTTATCAATAATATAATTGGATATAAATACTAGCTTTAAACTGGTTCCATTTGCTCTTATACGAGAAGTATTTTACTCAAATTGCACATAAATTTTGTTGAATAACTTGTTGAATTTAAAAAAATTATTGGCAATTATTTTTTTTCAGCTGTCAGATACTAACCGTTTTATCATCATAGGTGAGCGCCAGATTTCGAAAAAGTCGGTGCTTCGGAGTCTGCAATAATTTAGATTCTTCATCGAATATTTTCTGGTTGTGAATATGTGAATATGGGTGCGAGTGTGCGTGTGCGTGAGTGCGTGCGTGTTGTTGCGTTTATTATGACCAAATATTGAAGTCAAACGTTTCATTTTTACCATCTGGTGTAGTGACATATTCGAAAAGCTCTTCAGTTTTCTACTGAGGGACGACAACGCTTTTTTTCTCAACTTCTTTGCTCACACGGCAATTTAATTTTACAAATAGTTTGGATCGCCCTTTTTTCAGGCGTTCAGAGAGACATGAAAACTGGTTATTTGAAGTCCAATCGCCCGTTGATTATGTGCTTCATTCCAACTTACAAGGAATCACTGGACTCAAAAGCGTTTGCTGTTCGAGCCACATGGGGCCGAAGGTGAGATAATAAATGACTTTAATGCAGTTTTTGCGGGCTCAAAACTCTTCAGTTCAGTTATCTATTATTTGATTGTATGTCTAATTGTACTTGATAAAATTCCTCCCATGGATGTATTTCCTAGAAATGGCTCGCTGTTTTCAAAATTTAACACTCAAAATAGAAATTTCACTTAATTTTTAAACACATGGGTGCAAACTTGCATTATTGAATAATTTAGAACAAAATTGAATTTAACTATTTATTTACTAAGGTGTGACCGAATGATTTTTGCTGCCGACGAAGTGAACAAGACATTCCCAACAATCAAAATGGGCTACCCTGGTCGCAAGATGCTCTGGGCTAAAGTGAGAGACACTTTCGAATACTTCTACGACAACTATCTTGACCAGTACGACTGGTTCTACAAGGGAGACGACAACACTTATGTCATAGTTGAGAATTTGAGATCATTCCTCGCTAAGTATGACCCGGACAAGCCATGGTTCTTCGGCCATAGATTCAAGGCTTTCCTGGTGGTAAGTCACTATGGTTCTCTTTTATTCATCTTTATAATTCCATTTTTTTAACAATCTAAACTCTTTCAGCCAGCGATAGAAGTGGCTTTTCCATTTTTTGTTCAGACCATTTGAAAAATGAGGAGTAACTTTGTATTCGGATGTATTTTATTTTTTTTTATTTTTTTGTTTTTCAGGCGAAATCAGCTGCCACAATTAATCAGTTCTTATCACATAGTCATACTGTGCTGATTTAAATTAACCGGACAAAACGCGTTAAACTTGAAATTTAAAACTCGTTTTTCGCAAATTGGGATGAGTTTAGGTAAAAACTTATGAAGACAAAACTTGTTTGAAATTTAGCAGAATTGATATGGTGTAATTTGTTTTGCGAAATTTGGGCCCAAAATTTTACCCCAAAAATGGGTCATTTTGGCTTTTCTTAGTTAATCAAAAATTACGCCAACAAATACCCAGTCGATCGCAGACATAATTACATCAAAGTTAGCTCCTTACGGAGCCCAACAAACTTTAAGAAGGTTATACTCTCCAAAAAAAATTGCAAATCGTTTAAAAATTGTTTTTAATTAAATAGTTGGTATTTTATAGTAAAAACGACCTTTTTTGTCTATCAAACAAAAATAAATTAACTTAAACAATGTTTTGGAGAATATACCCTTCTTAAAGTTTGTTGGGCTACGTAAGGAGCTCACTTTGACATAATTATGTCTGTGATCGACTGGGTATTTGTTGGAGTAATTTTTGATTAACTAAGAAAAACCAAAACGCGTTTAACTTGAAATTTGAAACGCTTTTTTCTCAAATTGGGATGAGTTTAGGTAACAACTTATGAAGACAAAACTTGTTTGAAATTTAGCAGAATTGATATGGTGTAATTTGTTTTGCGAAATTTGGGCCCAAAATTTTACCCCAAAAATGGGTCATTTTGGCTTTTCTTAGTTAATCAAAAATTACGCCAACAAATACCCAGTCGATCGCAGACATAATTACATCAAAGTTAGCTCCTTACGGAGCCCAACAAACTTTAAGAAGGTTATACTCTCCAAAAAAATTAGCAAATCGTTTAAAAATTGTTTTTAATTAAATAGTTGGTATTTTATAGTAAAAACGACCTTTTTTGTCTATCAAACAAAAATAAATTAACTTAAACAATATTTTGGAGAATATAACCTTCTTAAAGTTTGTTGGGCTCCGTAAGGAGCTAAATTTGATGTAATTATGTCTGCGATCGACTGGCTATTTGTTGGCGTAATTTTTGATTAACTAAGAAAAGCCAAAATGACCCATTTTTGGGGTAAAATTTTGGGCCCAAATTTCGCAAAACAAATTACACCATATCAATTCTGCTAAATTTCAAACAAGTTTTGTCTTCATAAGTTGTTACCTAAACTCATCCCAATTTGAGAAAAAAGCGTTTCAAATTTCAAGTTTAACGCGTTTTGTCCGGATAATTTAAATCAGCACTGTATTAAAGCCCTTACAGTTGTGATTCAAAAAAATTGAGAAAAGCCGGTTTGAAATTGTCGGGAAAAACCGGTTTTAATTTATGGTCATTTGAGCGATTGAAGCGAGCGAGCAGGCTTCCAATAGCTTATTTTAGTAGCTTATAAGCTTACAATAGCTTAATTAAAGCCGTAAAAATTTACTTGAGTAAAATTAGTTTTTTGAGCATTTTAGCGCCTTTTGGACTCAAATTTGGAAACATTTTGATTTTTTCAAGTTTCTTATTTGTTTTTTTTAGTCTACTGTTGCTTATTTTACTATCCAAAATCCTTAATCTCTAGTTTTTTTGTTCAGATCCTTTTTTATCAATCCACGCAGAAAAAACGTCTCGGAATCGAAAAAACTGTTTTATTGTATTTTTAAGTTTATGGCCGGAACATTCTGAGCTAGCTGCACAGTAACAGGCTATCCTTGTATTGCTTTCGATTTTGCGTATTTTTGGCGCGCACAGCTTTTTTTTTTTAAAAAGAAGGCTATAAACCAAGTGATACAAAACCTATGCTAAATGAAAATGACCTAGGACAATAGTATTTTAACACGCTAGATTGTAAATGAGTTCTGCTAAGATAAATTTACCTACTTAACTTAAAGACTAAAAAAATCTGACACGCTTCATCAATGTGCAGGAGGGGTACAACAGTGGTGGTCCTGGCTATGTCCTCAGCAGAGGAGCTTTGAGACTCCTGGGTCCCACACTTAAAATGAAGACAATCAACTCCACCTGCATGCCTGGAAACCAGACTGGCACATACAGGGGCGAGGACTTCAGAATGGGTTAATTTAAAACTCTTCAGTGAAAAAATTCTCTGTAGAAATCACCTCAATAATTGAAAGCATGAAACTGCTAAAAACATTTGGTTTTTCTGTTTTACGGCCAAAAACTGATCTTTCTTTATAAAGATTTTTATTGAAAACAGAAGCTCAGTTAACAGTTTAGTAAATTTGGACCGTATAACAAAAAATAACCAAAAATTTTTTAGAAGATTTATTTGCAGGCTAATTTTCAATATGCTGAAAAGATTTTTTTTTCTAAAAAAAAATATAGGCAGAGGAACTATATATTAACCCTATATCTTTGAATAGCATGTTCAATGTGTAAAAGCCAGTTTTTTTTCCAAAATATCCTATTTTGCCTTAGGAGAGTGTTTGGAAAAAGTGGGCGTGGTGCCGTCTCGAACCCTGGACGAAAAGGGGCGTGAACTCTTCCACGTGTTCAATCCTGACGGCGAATTGACAGCTATCAAAAACACAGAGTGGTATCACTTTTTCAATTACTACACACACAAATCGGTCAGTATCAGACAAGTCAAACTCTAGCTAGTCAAATCTCTATTGTTGTCAAAGTGTTCATGTAGCGAGTGATAAGTTTGTCACAAAAGTAATGATGAAGTAATCCCAGTCAACTCAGCAGTCTGAGTTACATAACCGATGACGTGATGTGAGGTTATGTTGATGTATGTGTATACGTAGAGTTGGCTGTGCCATATATACCACAAACATGTTGAAAGGCGAACGCTCTTTTCCCTCTCAGGGATTCGATCCATTGCCGACCCAAAGGGTCCCCCTCTGTACTGTTTTGAGAAATCCATTTTGGCGACGGAACCTGAAAATTTTCTACAGGCACCATTGGCGCCAAAAAATATTTATTTTGAGGAGGGAGCACGCGCCAAAAAAAACGCGATTTTTTTAGTCAGAATTTTCCAAAAAAAGCAAAAACGCCTACTTTGGCATGTTTTTTCAAAATTTTGCCTGCGGTTGGGAGAACTCGGAAAATCGATTTTGTCGACCTAAAAAAAAGGTCGACAAAATTTTGAAAATTTTTAAAAAATTTTTGAAAATCCGTCCCCCCTCGACAAAATACTAGATCCGCCCCTTGACCTAGTACAATAATGTTTTAGCACGCTAGATTGTAAATGAGTTCTTTTTTGTAAAGTTAAATTTATCTACTTAACTCTAAAGATTTTTTGAAACTCCGCCCCTAGATCTGAAAATCCTAGATCCGGCCCTTGTTGAAAACCTATTTTTGTTACTTAAACAATTTGCCTTATATTCTTCACTTAGTTCTTACGTAAGCCCAGGAAATATTTTCCAGTTAATCAGAACTAAAAGTTCCACGAAACCTGTACAATTCACGGCACATTCAAAACATGCTCTCATTGGCTAATTCCGCTATCTTACATAAGTGCATAGTGTTACCTAAGTGCACAATCAGTATAGAGACAAGCAGGAGTGGATCTAGGATTTTCTTGAGGAGGGGGGTGGATTTTCGAAAAAATTTCGAAAACTTTGTCGACCTTTTTTTTAGGTCGACTAAATTGATTTTCCGAGCTCTCCCAAAGCACTTAAGACCCTGTTTTTTTTTGAATTTGAAAAAAAAATTGAAAAAAAAACAGGCCAAAAGGGCATTTATTGGAAAATTTTGACGCTTCCCGCTCATAATTAGTATATTTTTGGCGCCAAAAGCGCTTTTAGAAAAAGTTTAGGGTCAGTCAGCGAAAAATGGATATCTCAAAATAAAATACTACAAAGGGGGACCCCTCGGGTCGGCAGGGGGTCGAATCCCTAAAAAAAGGCGTCCGCATCGACCCCCTCCCCTAATTCTGCTGGTGGAGACAAGTCTCCTTTCTTGGACGTTTTTTTTTTTTGAAAAATTTGTTCTAAAAAAAACAAATACGGAAGACGGCTCTAATGTTCTCAATTTAAAAACAAATCTCTAAACTTTTTAATAAATTTTTATTCAGATAGTCTTAACCTTAACCTCATCGAGCAAAAATTTGCAACCTTCAATAAAATTTGTCATTTGACATAGAAAGAAAATTGTATCTTGATTATTTTTAACAGCAAAAAAATTAATTGAAATAGACAGCAAAAAAAATAATTGAAAATTTTGAAAGTTTTTTTAAAAAGTATTGAAAATTTGTCCCCCCCCTCGAGAAAATCCTAGATCCGCCCCCTTGACCTAGTACAATAATGTTTTAGCACGCTAGATTGTAAATGAGTTCTCTTTTGTAAAGTTAAATTTATCTACTTAACTGTAAAGATTTTTTGAAACTCCGCCCCTAGATCTGAAAATCCTAGATCCGCCCTTTGTTGAAAACCTATTTTTGTAACTTATACAATTTGCCTTATATTCTTCACTTAGTTTTTACGTAAGCCCAGGAAATATTTTTCAGTTAATCAGAACTAAAAGTTTCACGAAACCTGTACAATTCACGGCACATTCAAAACATGCTCTCATTGGCTAATTCCGCTATCTTACATAAGTGCATAGTGTTACCTAAGTGCACAATCAGTATAGAGACAAGCAGGAGTGGATCTAGGTTTTTCTTGAGGAGGGGGACGGATTTTCGAAAAATTTCGAAAACTTTGTCGACCTTTTTTTAGGTCGACTAAATTGATTTTCCGAGCTCTCCCAAAGCACTTAAGACCCTGTTTTTTTTTGAATTTGAAAAAAAAAATTGAAAAAAAAAAACAGGCCAAAAGGGCATTTATTGGAAAATTTTGACGCTTCCCCCTCATAATTAGTATATTTGGCGCCAAAAGCGCTTTTAGAAAAAAGTTTAGGGTCAGTCAGCCAAAAATGGATATCTCAAAATACTACAAAGGGGGACCCCTCGGGTCGGCAGGGGGTCGAATCCCTAAAAAAAGGCGTCCGCATCGACCCCCTCCCCTAATTCCGCTGGTGGAGACAAGGCTCCTTTCTGGGACGTTTTTTTAAAAATTAATTGCCGGAAAAATTTGTTCTAAAAAAACAAATACGGAAGACGGCTCTAATGTTCTCAATTTAAAAACAAATCTCTAAACTTCTTAGTAAATTTTTGTTCAGATAGTCTTAACCTTAACCTCATCGAGCAAAAATTTGCAACCTTCAATAAAATTTGTCATTTGACATAGAAAGAAAATTGTATCTTGATTATTTTTAACAGCAAAAAAATTAATTGAAATAGTTTGAACTTCAGAAGGAGGTTCTGGAGCTCAGATGAAACGGATCCCCTGTAGACGCTTTCAAACATAAATCGGATAGATATATTTATTTTAGCTCATGTATTTTGGCCTCAGTCCCAAAAAGGGTGTCGGAAAATTCAGGTTGTCGCCAGTCTTTTATGGCAATTAATTTAAAATTAAGCAATGACATATGAATTAAATTACGAGGGGGGGGGGGGGGGGGGGGGGGCGGATTTTCGAAAATTTTGACGACCTTTTTTTTCTTTTTAGGTCGACCAAATTAATTTTTCGAGCTCTCCCAAAGCACGGTTTTGTCCCTATTTTGGCCAAATTTTTTGCTCCGCAGGCAAAATTTTGAAAAACAGGTCAAAAAAGGCGTTTTTAGGCACTTTTTAGAAAATGTTGACCAAAAAATCGCGTTTTTCCGGCGCACGCTCCCCCCTCAAAACCAGTATATATTGGCGCCAATTACACTTTTACAAAATTTTTAGGGTCGATCACCATTAATGGATATTGGAAAATAGTACAAAGGGGGGACCCTTTGGGTCGGCAGGGGTTCGAATCCCTGAGGGGGGAGGGGGGAGGGAGGGAGGGTGTCCGCTCTCTTTGCCCCCCGTAAATTCGCCCCTGCTACAGTTGCCAGAAGCGTTTCATATCAAATCCCACGCCCTATCAGCGTGACCGTACAAATTGCTGAGAATTTATAATTGAAAAATTAAAAAACAGAAGTAGATATTGGAAAAATTTTGCTATCAAGTTTTGTAGTACTTGATTGAGATACGTTAATTTTTGGTTGCAGTAGTTCAATTAGTGTATACCTTTTTTTAACTTGTGCGTCCTAAAATTATCGTAGAGACGTCAATAAAAACTGAATATGGATCATTCTAGAAAAAGATTAGCTTATTTTGAGAAATTTTAACTCTGATTTACAAATTGCGATAGTTTTAAGTACAACAAGACTGCTCGTATCAGGGCAAAGCCCTGAATGTTCCGACTGCCTTTGAACGTTTAAGGAGCAGTAATAATCTATAAAAGTAAAATGTAATAAAATAAAATGAAAAATTTTTTTTCTAAAATTTGAAACTTTTTTTACAACAATCATCTCCCCACACGCCATATAAAGTACAAAATGATAGATTTCGCTCCTTGTAACAAATCAATTATGGCAAACAAGCTTCTTTCAACCAATTTGGAAAAATTTCTAAGACGGATTAAATCTCCGCTTACGCGTTAATAGCGCGAAATATATCGCGCGTTAATTGTCCCAAATTGGCCAAATTGGCCAAATTGGCAATTTTTAAACTCCATAACTTTACGAAAAATGATCACAGGTGAAATATCTTTTCAAATTTAAGCTCAGGACAACAATACCTTTTGAATGATATAAAAAAATTCCGTCAAAAATGGCTAGTTAAAAAGTCGAAATTTGTCTGAAGAAAAAAAAACCCACCCCGACCGAAAGTCGGAACAATAATAACTATTGAACCTTCTTGAAAATAAAAGAGCGTAACTATTATGCAACACACTTTGTAAAATTTTCTAGAAGCAAAAATTTATTTTCCAATTAATTTTTTTTGGAATGTTCTTCTTAATTGCCTACATTACGTCGTCAAAAAAAGCTATAACTTTGAAATTTTTTTGGATAATTTGATATTTGGATCTTTGTTAACAATCCGGATATTTTTTGGTTTTTGATATCAATTTTCCCAGGAGCCTAAACTCCTAAACTTCAGAATTACTGCTAAATGACTCTTGGAAACATTTCAGAATTATGGTTCGGGAACATTTGTAAGCCTTATTGCGTCTGGTTTTTGGTTTTAAAGTATTATAGGCACTTTTTACCACTTTCTTTATACAACATAGAATACAACAAAAACACATCACATATGTTTCATATAGAAACAGTTTCAACTAAGAAGAACATATTCTTCCACGTGAAGCTATATATTCTAACATTGACTCAAATTAGAAATTTTGATTGCAGTTTAAATGCGGAACCACACTCAACATAATGTGTGCTATGTTTTTGGTGGCCTGATTTAGCTTAGTACTTTAGGTTGAAACAAAAAAAAGATTATGACAGAAATATGTGGGAAATCAAAATAATAATTCAAGGACGTATATTTTAAGTTTTAATGAAGGAAATGAAGAATAACTTGAAGAATAATATTAATGAAGAAGAACAACTTCTGAAATTTAATTGTAAGTCACATGCCCAATTTGAGATCAATATTTGACAAACGCATATCGAAACAAAAGTTGAAACATAAAGTAGCACTTCGACCCGGTTTTATCAAAAAGTTTTTTCTGCTCCAGGGTTTCGACTGTTGTTCGGAGAATTCGATCAGTTTTCACTATGTGGGACCACAGTACATGTATGCCATGGAATACATCCTGTACCATCTACAACCACACGTACTACAAGTGCAACAAAACATGCAATCTTGAAGATACTTGAAGACATCTTGAATACTGATTTGAAGCTGTTTTGTTGAAACTGAAATCTATTATTGTTGATCTAGTACTGTTATCATCTATATAAAATTTGACTTGAATTATGTTATGCTTGGAAGGTTGGTTCCGAATCATGCAACTAAACTGTAATAAAAATTTTAACGCTCAATTGACATTTTTCAATATGGGCTAAGAAAAAAAAAGATGTTGAAAAAATAGTGGTTTTTTGTCTCCTAATTTTCTCTAAAACGTAAGGTCAAAAAATCCGATAAACTGAGCTACATTTGGCTACATTAAGCAAGACAAAATTGACTGAAACTTCAGAATAGCTTCTTTTGCGTGCTACTTATTTAAAAAAAATCAAAAAATTAAGAAGTGATGATTCTGCATGCACGGCACTAATACATTAAATTTAAAAAGATTTGACTAAAACTTTTTCCCAAATGAGCCAAGAGAGTGAACATCAAAAACGACGGGTCAAGTTAACATCCCCCCCCCCCCGACAGATAGACCAAAATCTGTCGTAACCTTTTGCAAAATTTGTCTGCGGCCTAGATAATTCTGTCAAAATAGGGTCTGTACAGTTTTCTGGGACCGCTCGAAAAATCTTTTTGGTCGACCTAAAAAAAGGTCGAAAAATTTTATGAAAAACTTTTTTGAAAATGCACCCCTCCATCGAGAAAATCGAAGATATGCCCCTGCTATGACGCAAACGTGAATTTTTGGACATGCTCAATGCACAGAATTTATTTTATATGATCAGGTGATTCGCAAAAAATAATGAGCAAAAAATAAATAAATTTATACTCTAAAGCTAAAACATCAAAATATTATCAAAGTTGTATTGTCTCTGTGTCACTGGCAAGAACTTCATCTGCTTCAAAGCCATCATTATCCAACCCTTCACTTTGAGGATCATTCAGAACCCCATGGTTGCTGGTTTCGATTAATTCAACGTCCCCAATTTCAACCGGCGCATCTGGATTTTCAAATCGTAATCGACCTGAAGCTCTTCTTTTGTATAGCTTGGGTGCTTTCTTCGAATCTTCACCTACTGTCAGCGAATTTGACCTTCCAGCAACGTGATCGGGCAAGTTTTCACGACTTACTACATTGCAGTCTTCATTAGAAAACGTGACTGGACCTTTTGATTCTGTATGAATATTAATTGAAGATGACGGGTTTGCGTGAAATTCTACTGACAAAGAATCGTCATTCATTTCAGAATGTCTAATTGTAGGAGGATCATTTATGGATCCTCCTGCGGCCGTAGTTTGCATGTCTTGATCTCTTTCGTCATAGGAGTGATCCTGAATTGAAGATGTTTGAGTGGGATTTCTGATGCTTTCTTCAAATGCTTTGTGTTTTCTGGTAATCTGAAAAAAAAACAATGTTTAAAATCGGTGAATTCTCATAGGTTCCAATATTCATAGGTTCCAAAATAAAAAATCAGTCGCATAAGTTCCAAAATTTATCGTCTTGAATTCTGATTGGTTGAAATTTGAGCCAACGAATTTATGGATCGATTGTTTACTGTTCAACCAGCATAAACTCAAGCTGCAGAATAGTGACCGCCGCAGCAGCGCCAACGTGTTGCTAGCTTGCCACCAAAGGGTAGGACTCTATACGAAATTTAGAGCCGGTTATCGCCGCGAAGCGGCGACGCGCGCGTAGCGCGCCCACCGGCGACCTTAAACCGAGACTCGGCTAATTTAGTCTTTTGACCAATTGAAAAGATTTGGAACTTATGCGACTGCTTTTATATTTTGGAACCTATGGGACTGATTTTTTATTTTGGAACCTATGAATACGCACCTTAAAATCCGCTAGGGTCGGCTTCGATATTGGTTTGCGTGAAACGTTCGACCATCTACTCATCAACATTTATTTTTGGAGCTACGTTGTGGCTGGTTGCTCTGCAAGTGTTTTTTTTTCAGTGTTAAGCTGACAAAAATCTTTTCAAAAACGGAAAAAGAAAGAAAATTGCTGAAACTTTTCAACGGAGATGTAGAAAAAAAAAGCTTGAATACTTACAGTTTTCAAATACGTGTAATATAGCTAGTTGTTCCGGATTTCGCAAATATCAGCGGATTCCGCAAAATTTAAGCAGACACCGCAAATTGTAAATGGGTTCCGCAATTTTGTTTATTACATTGAACTAAGATCGTGCGTGAACAAATAATAGCTAGAACTAGAACTAATATTCAGCAAATGATGAAATTGAAAGCAAGGACTTAGCCATTGTGAGTGAAAATCACAAAAATCCTAAATTATTATTTATTCAACATCGTGGATGTACCCCTAATAAATTTCCGAGCTGAAGTTTTTAGGGGACCATAATTTGAGAAGTACACTGAAGAAGCAAAACAATTTTTTGTGATTAGAGCTGATCATATCATTCCATATTCCGGATTCCGCAAACAACCTTCTTTTGGACAAACTTTGAGCGATGAAGTGTTTTACCTATTTGTTCATGAAATCCAAAACAGCCACGAAGATCAAAGAAAGCTAGCAAAGTAGCGGATTCCGCTACATATCTGATTTTGGCCTGTTGCGGAATCCACATACAATTCACAAAGTACAGTTTGGCCTAGTCATTTAAATTACTATCAAAAACAATAAGGAAAACTGGTCGCTGCTGAAGTAGCATAGAAAGTTCCGATCACAAAAACTGATATTAATAAATGGGATGTTTTTGTTATTAGGCAATAGCCTAATTTTCTAATTTGCTTTGATTCTGAGAAATAACAACAAAAACATTTCAGGTAAGTTGTCATTTTTGTATATTCCTGTTATTTTTAACATTAGCGTGTCATTATAGAATGAAATTTGCGAAAGTGATGTCTGTACTGCTCAAAGATGAGTTTTGGGTTAAAAGCCGCAAACCACAGTCTGGGGTTCTAGCCTCAAACCACATCTGGACAATTTCTGAAGGCATGTCAACATGCCGAACGGTGAGTATGCCGAAATTATCAAGTGTGTCCGTTTGCCAAAAGTGAGAGTATTCTTTGAATTGATTAGCTGCATCCTTTCAAGTGCTAAGGGATTGTAGCACATGAAAAAATACATTTTGTTTTTCCCAGTTGAAATTTTTGCTGCTTAATTTCCCTTTTTTAAATCAGACAAAAGTATGGTAGAGTAAAAAAGAAGAAGTTCCAAATTATCTCAAAGAGTTAGATTCACCTTTTTAATTACCCTTGTTATTTGTTTATAACTTAAAATATTACCTCAATCAAATAAAAATAAAACATTTTTCCGTTACTATTACTCGTTGGTTTTTCACTTTATGGAGCGTAGCGATTAGCCTGTGTGCCTATCAGCATGCGACGATTAAGGAGCGTAGTGATTAGCATACGATTAGTATACGATTAGCAATTTAAGAAGTGAAGCAGTTAGCCTATGTGCATATAAGCATGCGATAATTGTTTTAACTGGCTGTGCTGTCAGACGAAAAACGGTTTGGCCTGTACTTCTAGATAATTTCTAGATACACTTGATTTGTTGGGGAGCTACAACTTCAGTTTATCCTTATTGAAAATTCGGCGGAGTACAGGCTGTTGAAAATTGCTAATTTGAACGAACAAATTGTTACAACGGAAATCTTCAAACTACATTTTTATACGGGCATGTTAATCAACACACATGCTAATAGACCCGTTCCCACTTTATTTCTGTATATTTGTTGGATTTTGGTCATGGTTGATTGTAATTGAGGCGCATTTTTTCCGTGCATGTTTCCAATTTTTACCTATATCACAAGAATTTTAGACAAGTCCGAATCACGACCAATAGTGATTTGATATTATACCACATTTGACTCCTTACGAATGTTCGATTCCTTTCTGTGAAGTAATGAAAATTGGGCGAAGAAAAACACATAATCCATAGCTAACCCATATTTCCATCCCACGCACTTAAAGGGGGCGATACTAACAGAAATACAGCCCGGTATTTCTCAGCACCAAGAAAAAGTGTTTGAATTATTTTCTTGAATATATAATACTTTATCGGGCGTGAATAAATTTTCAAAACTTGACACCTACTAGTTTTCTGAGGTACCAAAATTACATGAAAACAGAAATGTTCGAACTGAACAGGAGTGACGCATTTGCGATCATATTTTCAAAAATCCTAACTTGAAACGAGATCATTCAGTACTCTGAACTACTCACTCGAATGTTGACGAGAATGAGTGCAATTAGAAGAAGCAACAGGAAGCAGAGTACCCCGATGATAATGTAGGCCATCACTTCCCCATACTCCACCCCATCCACCGTCTCCCCCACAGTCGACATTAATTCTGCTCACACTTCCCGCCTGCAGTGGTATTGAAGCCTCATTTATTGCGCTATAAGAATCTTAGAGGATGTTATTTTCCAAACAACACTTGAGTTTTTGAAATTCGTTTCAATAATTCCCGTACAATCAGTTTATTTTATTAAGATTAGAAAACTTTAAAAAGTGCCCAAAAATGCAAAAATGGCATGTTTGGCCGGTTTTTTTTAATTTGGCTTGAAAGTGCGGTGCAGATGATTTGGTTAAAATGCGGTCTTTATAAGGATTTGAGAGAGCTCAGAATATCAATTTGATCGACCTAAAAAAAAGGCCCAGCAAATTTTAGAAATTTTTTGAAAATCGGCCACCTCCCTTGAGAAAATCCTAGATCCGCGCCTGCGGACCTTCGCACGTCAAATTCATCTAGCAAATTTATCTTTTTTCCGAATAAAGCTAGACGACCTATTATTGCCGCGTATTTTTTTTTTTTGGGGGGGGGGGGGGGGGGGGGAGTTCGCCCTTTCTCAGGGATTCGACCCCCTGCCGTACCCTTTGTACTATTTTGAGATTTCCAGATTCAGCTAACTGACTGTAAATTTTTCCTAAAGGCGCCTTTAGTGCCAATATATACTAATTTTGAGGGGAGAGAGCGCGCCAAAAAACGCGATTTTTTTGGTCAAATTTTCTAGAAAGTGCCTAAAATTGTCTTTCACGGTCTTTTTTAAAACATTTGCTGCGGTGCAGAAAATTTGGTTAAAATGAGGTCTTAATAAGGATTTGAGAGAGCTCAGAAAATCTTTTTGGACGACCTAAAAACAGGTCCAACAAATTTTAGAAATTTTTTGAAAATCGGCCACCTCTCTCGAGAAAACCCTAGATCCGCGCCTGAAAGAACCTAATAACACTAGGTTTTCAAATTAATGTTCTTCACAAAAAATCAGTATAGTACAGAAGACATATTACACCAGAAAACAAACGGGAATTAGTCTGATTGATTCTGCATAGTAATTTAAGAAGGTATAAACTTCTAACTAATGACGGCTAAGTGGTTTCATTTTGCTTCATCCGCGCTTGCCGGAATGGGCCAGTTGAGTTTCCGAAGAAACGTTTGTTTTTATACAATCAAAATGCTTAAATTTGTGCCTATAGTCTCGTGCCGAGGGAGGGGGGTGTTGAATTTTTGGTACTGTTTTGACATCCCTTTTTGACTGACTGACGCGAAAAAATGGTTAAATCTTCTTTGGCGCCAATTTCCACTAATTTTAAGAGATAGTGTGCGCCGATAAAAGACGTTTTCTTTTCAGTGTTAAAAATGTGCTTAAGAATGTTCTTTTTTCTTACCAATAACTTGACAGCCTCGCTGAGCGCCAATAAAATTTTTAAAAAATCTCATGATAAAGATAGAAAACTACACGTACAAGTACAAGTATGATTGTTGAGTACCTTAAAAAAGCACGTTTGAATGATGGGTCCGCGATGTTTTAGAAAGTTTTAAAAACACAAGTAAACAAAAATTCGCCCTATTTCCAAAGACTTTAAGCGCAAAAAAATTCTACAGGGACCCATCCAAGTTTTTGGGACCAAACTATCGTACTTGCACTACACGTACATTACCTTTTTAGTTTTGCTGCTGTTTGTTGGTAAATATGAGAAAAATGTTTTGTGGGAACGAAGGTTAAGATTAATAATTGATTACCTGAACGCAATAAGAACTTGCACCTGTCTGTTTTTCAAAATGAATTGTGTGGTGCGGCTATGAGTTATCTGTAATCAGCATTTAGTAAATAGCAACAATGATGAAAGTAGACTTCTCTTCGGTCCGCTCGATTCAAAAGTGAACCGCTAGTTTTTCAGCCAGTTTAATAATATCTAACCAACGATTAACAAGAATGTTTCAAAGTAGTTCATGAATAACCGAAATTAGTAATAAATTCTAGTTGTTGTTAATTTGAGCAACAAAACAAACGTTTAACATCATCGAAACCTGCCCTTTTGTTTTGGCTGGATGTTGTCATAAATTGAAGAAAGGTTTGGTGGTGAAACAATTAAACCAGACTCGAAACAAAACAAAGGTACAACTACGATAGAGTTGTCCCTAGAAGAAGTTACTTTCGCAGACAGGTCCCGCATACATTTCGCATGTAATAATTTGAAAATTAGCCAGGTTGACGAAACACAATTAATCACTTGTAAAACTAGCATCCAGAAAATTGTCTAATTACTCTGAGACTAACATTTTTTCGCTGTGTAAATTTGTGTGACTAGCGTTTTTTTTTGCAGTGTGAAATTGCGTGAGTAGTGTGAAATTGTGGAAAAGTAGTTTTATTTCGAGTTTTTTTGTTCAGTCGTAAACACAATAACCAAGTATTTTTTCATTAATAAACCCAACAGGTTGAGTGGCAAAAAATCCATGAACAAACTGCATTTGAGATTTGCCATGTAAACAAGTGTTTTAGTTTTGCACATTGGTAATTTTTTGTGTACGGCTAAAAAAAATTCAAAAATTTGAATCTTTGTAAATCATGGCCTGTTTTTTTTGACAGGTCTTAAATTTATCTTGCTATATAAAACTAAAAAAAAAACAGAGTTCGGGTTTAACAAGCATTCTGATTTCGGTTTCTTTTAGGCAAAAAGACTTGGCCAACGTTATAGACAGTAAATTCAAAATTTACATGCGAGAAGAATTTTTTCGAAACTTTATTTAGTCTAGAACTGTTTTTGCGGCTTAAAGCAAGACCTAACATTTTTCCTTAATTTTGATTTTTTGAAATTGTATAATTGTATGACTAGCGTTCTTAATATAAAAATGTGTCATCAATTTATCTAGTTTTCAAATTCAAAATCGATTTTTTCACCATTACATTTTTAAAGTATCAACTTTGAACGCCCTCAGGTTTAGTTTATATATTTTTTGGTGTTGACAACGCTGGTCTATCAATTTCTATAGTCTTATTTTCACAAAATTTTCTTAGCTCCTTGAGAAATTGTAGTACTAGCGTTTTCTTTGTATAAAGGTCAACCCTGGTGTTTTGTATATAAAATATTCATTTCAAAAATGTCGCTAAAAACTATTAGTTAGAAACTTTGGTTATCGAAAGGGTTATGGGTTTTTTAATTGTTATTGAAACTCAAAGTTATACTTTTTTCGAATTTTTCACATTAAAATGTGGAGTGGAAAAGTTTTACAAATTAGCAAAACAAACTTTTAGTTTGAAAACTTACTGCGACATCTTTCTGTATGGCAAACGTATAAACGTTGAACAATTTGTGAGCCCTATGTGTCCTGCTCTCAAGGGACCTGGTTATTTTCAAGGGAACACTCCATTAAAGTAGTACCAAAACAAAATTGCCAGTAAGTTAGGGCAGAGCCTTGAATGTTCGGTTCCCCCCTTTTTAACTCTAAAGAATTTAACACCTTACAATTTCACTCCCTTCTTTTTCTTGCCTTAGCAATTTAACATCGCTACATTTTAAAACAATTTCTATGACTTATTACAGTTTTCATCCAAAATGAAAAGAAAACTTACTTCATAGGGGAATTCGGTAAACATCAAAAATTAAACGAGAGATCTTTTTGCCATTTAAAGCCAGACAAGTTCTCGCTATTTAATTCGCGTAACTTTTGAACAAAAAAAACCTTGCAAATGATTTCAATGAATTGTTTCAAACCAAAATGAAAAAACCTTGCCAATATTTTTAATGAATCATTTCAAAATGAACCAAAAACAAGCAATAATTCAATAAACTTCAATAGACCGCAAATAATTAGACGTCTTTTGACAAATATGGCCTAATTTTCTAGACAACTTTAGCCGGTATAGAAATTATAAAAAGGTTCAACCAATGCCAAAAGCCGAAAAATCAATATTTTTCAGAATCATTCTCGAACTTAAACTTATGACCTGATCGCTTTGTCAGTTTTTTTTGAACCGTTGGCACAAAAATGCAAAGCTAAAGGATTTGCCAGCCCGTAGTCCCAAGCTAGCAGCCCGAAAATAAGGGCGGTTGTCCTGGGATTAAATTGCTAAGGCACAAGTCAAGTTCTTACGTTTAGTTACGTTTCCGGAATACTGCAAGGAAATGTCTTTTCAAAAAAAGCTGACAAAAATTTCAGTAGAATTAAGTTTTGATTTTTGATAATACGAAAGAATAAACAAAAATAAGACAAAATTTACAAAAGTTTAACACAAACTAAACAACGCTCTGAAAAAGTACAGATCAGTTTTGTCTTCGTAAACGGACATTATGTTTTGTAATCTTTAATTTAATACTCGATACTTTTTCTTTTTTGTGAACTTATGGCCACTCGATGCATCAAAAAAGTTGAGTTTCTGTACGTAACCGTCTTTTTGCAGGCTGCCCAATACTTTCCACATATTTGGGTGGGGTCCGCTGAAATAGGATTGAATCCCGAATCGACAGCATTTGTTGTTTGAGCAATCCCACTCAAGGCCGCATCTCGCTGGTTCCAAAGGGACGGTGGGAACAAAACTTCACGGTTTGGCACCAAGCTTTTTATATAAGTAGAGCCGAAGTACAGACACATCTCGTCAATTTTCTCAACTTTCTCGGGATCTAAACAATTTCTGTCGCATACTGAATTTTCTGAACGATCATGTCATAGGAATCGCCGATCTTTTCTTTTTTTTTTTCGAATTCAAGGGAGTGGCAGCAATTTTAAAGCCAGTGCCAAATCGTGGTTCGTTTCGTAGGTCACTTTCAGACCCAATTCATTAATTTCTCTCATGTAACTCTGGGAGAGATGGAAAAAACAACCCGATAAATGAGCTTCGGTGAATGTTTTTTGGAAGGACTGAAGAGCAGATTGTTCAAAATCTAACCTAATTTTTTTCAGGCCGGAAGCTGGGTGCTAAATCAATAACGCCTGCAAGAAGCGGTTGTAGGTTTTTTCGGTTTTGTAGGAAGGAAGGCGTAAAGGCAAAGCTGGCGCAATGCCAGATACACTAAAATTAATTGAATATAGTTGATAGAACATTTTTGGAGTAATTTTAAAAGTTCAGTCGGCTAACCAGAAAATTGATATCTCCAGAACTCTAAGCATTTTGGGGTCGCCGCAAAAAATGATTCGCCCATGATAATTTGATCCACTGTCATGCCGGATAAAAGTTTCAAAATTTTCGGGGATGGGCGGCATATTTACATCTAGCTGTATACGGATCAGTTTGGTTTTACTTGAGAGGGCAAACTGAGGGGCCAAATTGTTTGTAGCTGGCAAAACCGCACTGACAACTGCAACAGTCGGGGTAAATCTCTCGCTGAGATCTTTTATATGCCTTATGACATTTCGGGCTTCCGATTTTCCCGCTGAAATGTCATGGTTATGCTCTCCAGGCGTCTCAATTAATTCGTTATTTTCAGTAATGGCAGTTGCTCGACATTTATCTGTTTGATAATTTGAGCAAATCCAGTTTTCGGTAAACTTATTTGTTCGCTCGAAGTAAAATTTGTGGCCGGACGCTATAACAATTGGCTTGTTTTTAGATGAAACTGTGAATTCGAAAGAAGACTCACTCATAATGTTTTTTTTTTGTGTTTGCAGTTGTTTATCACTTGAGGAAAGTATAAAGTGACTGTTAGAATTCAATTTTGTCAGAATTTTTACGTGAAACTGTTATGAATTAGCACAAGCAGCTTTTTTTAGCGATCATAATGGTTTAGCGAAAAGTCTAATTGAAAATAAATTACAAACAGTCTTAAGTATTTTAGGAAGCCTCCTTTTAGCATGTATAACTAAGATAAACCAAGTTTTTTTTATTATGGTGCGTGCCTTAATTGCAAGATTAACTTTGGTGCGATAAGAGTTAAGATAAGGAATTCATACAGCATTAAGTTCAATAGTGAAGTGACTAGGTGTTAAAATGTACTGTGTTAAACTGGAAAATAGGAGTTATATTGTTGTCGATTTAAATTGTTTAGTAGTGAAATGACGAAGTGTTAAAATGTACGGTGTTAAATTTTATGTCATTAAATTGTTGGACACCGAATGTTCAGATTGTCCTGTAAATGGTCTGAATATTTTTGATAAAGGAATCTTCGATAAACTGTATGTTAAAATTTTTTTGTTTGTCGTCCCTCAACTACTAGAATAAAATATTCCGTTTTTAATATTTGAGTCGTGTAGAGAATCAAAATGATATTAGTTAGCTTGGCTCAAGTTAATTCGGAGCGCAAGTGAAGTCACCACGCATAAAAAATTTGCGCTACACTATCGGAATCAAATATAAAATCTTCCAATTGAGAATAAGCACTATATTTTTGGCGAGTTTTCAAATTCAACTCTTGAGGATTGTAATTAAGTCATCATTTTCAAGTAGGGATGTGATATCTTCGCATGAAAGTTTTTGTTGAAAATTATGATTTTGATTGCCAAAGTTGTAATGAAAAAAAACCATCTCAAGCCGGAAACCAATTCCAAAACCGGAATAATGAAAATAGCCAGTTGCTAAGCTATTGGCACAAAAACGCGGCCCAATTCATTAAAAAAACAAAGGCTTAGCAAAAATCTTTCAGAGTTTTTCGTGAGTAACAATAATTAATAACGAGCTCCATCCGCAGTTTATTTGAGCTAACGATTAGCATTAACAAAACTTTACCTTTTGTTTTGGCCGGATATAGTCAAAAATCTAACAAAGTTGGGCATGGAAATAATTCAATCTATCTTTATAGAGTTCGAGTGTTCATGTGGTATGATAGTGTCTTATCCGGTGTCATGTATTTTATAACATTTTTGTTATTTGGAATTTAATACTTTGCTGAATGAAGCGTAGCTGACCCGCTGAAGACTTGGGA